GATTAATTATTTAAAATCGAAATCGCGATTTTAAATGAGTGGGATTATCAAATCGCAAAGGCCTTGCGACTCTTTTTTCAATTTTTTTTCATGTAAGTTTAGGTCTTTCACCGTACTCGGCTGGCGGGGTGGCTAGAGAGGAGCCAGTTGATAGCGGACCTCCTAAGCCGAGTTATGCTGCATTTTACAATGAAACTTACGTTGGGTCGCTTAAAAACAATATCGCAAATCCAATCGGCAATTATTGCCAGAAAAATCGCATTAGATTTTTTCCCAAAATCGTGCAGCCGCTACTGTGCACCGACGCTCCCCATCCAAGCTGATGGAGCTTGAGACAATCTGCAAAGAAGAATGGGAGAAACTGCCCAAAGATAGGTGTGCCAAGCTTGTAGCATCATACTGAAGAAGACTTGAGGCTGTAATTGTTGCCAAAGGTGCTTCAACAACGTATTGAGTAAAGGGTGTGAATACTTATGTGATATTTGAGTGTTTTATTTTTAATTCATTTGCAAAGATTATTCAAAAACGTTTTTCACTTTGTCATTATGAGGTATTGTGTGTAGAATGTTGAGAAAATAAATGAATTTAATCCAAATTGAAATAAGGCTGTAACATACAAACATGTGGAAAAAGTGAAGGGGTATGAATACTTTCCGGACTCACTGTACAGTATGTCCTCTTTCATCTGGTCTGATTCTCTGCACAGTAAATGATGTAACAGAATAGTAACCAACGCTGTTGATTAGGCAACAGGCTTGTTTCTGTATGCAGTGTTACTGATGCCATACAGAGCGTGACCCACACTCGTTTTCTCCACACTGTCCTTGTACGGCATGAATTCCTATTATCACAAGGGCAGCAATGTGCGAAAACTTGTACGTGAGGTCAATCTTCACTTCGATGAATAACACAAAAAACTTGATGAGATTCAGTTGCCCTTACTGAACAGCGTCGGACAATCTTCTGCTGCATCGTAAACCAAGACAGCGATATATCAAAACATAGTTAAAGTTAATTTAATCAGCTCTGTGCAGTGTTTCCTATACACAACACATTATTACGTATAATCCCGCTGACAGGAAGGAGGCCAAACAATGTGGTGGGTAACCTTTGGTCCAGACTATTAACCATGAGCTTTTGAAACATCATCATGCCCTTCATCTCATCCTCACCTTTAGACAGGCGCCTCTCATAAAGCAAAATGTTTAGGACTCCCATGCTTCTCAAAATACCAAACCACAACCATCAAAACAATGCAACAATCATACGTTCATAAGTCCTATAGTTTCAAATGAAGTCCAAATCTCTAAAACTTGAATAATGTATCAGTTATATATATGCCCATAAATAGTCTTCTTAGGGGAAACAACAGAAGCATTAGGATCCCATATCTATAGTGCATGGATGTAGTTATAGCTATTAACCATATACAGTGTCAGTTTTGTCTTTACATTTTTCTAGGATCTTTTTTTATACACTCTGTAATGGTTTTAACAATTTATGCCATTTGGCTCTTAATTACTTTTATATGCCATCTGTCTTTTTAATATCCTGATTCATGTTATGTATTTTATGTATTTATATGGATATATTCATCATCGCCACATTTGTTCTATAGTATTTCTGCACTGGTAAAAAAAAGTATCTGGACTACAGGTTCAGTTAGCTCTTAATATATTCCCAGTTACATTGTATATGTCTCCATTATAATATAATATTTCCGACTGTGTATCTATATACTGTCAAGATTTTTGAAATAAGTGACAAACGTATGTTGCCTGATACACTAAAAAAGGTTTGCTCTATCACTGTACAAACTGCCTATTATCTCTACAATCTGAAATAAGAACCCAATCAGAAATAAAGGAACTTCCTAACGGGATCTGTTACCCAGAGAGAGCTAAGTGGCTGCTTTCTCTCCCCGCCTAAAGGGTGCCGCACTGCGAAGTCTGACATGGTAAAAGAAGGATTTGATTGTACTTCATTATCAGTACAGTACAGTTTGGGTGCATTAAGAGAGTGCTGATCTGACTCCCTGGAGCATCTGATGCCACTCCTCGCTCAAAGGGTGCTGGATGATAGGGTCTGCTGTTCAGATAGTAACATGTGACTTCTAGAACTGATTGCAATGGAAACCCAAAGTGTGCTGAAGAACATAGAACAACACAAATGGATCTGCCACATGCGGTACATCATGTATAGGGCAGAATTATTTATAAAGTGTTGCATACACTGAGCTGGTTAGTGCATATAATGCATATACTGTATATTTCTGCATAATTTGCTGTCAATGCATCTTTTTTTCAAGACGAGAATTCAAATGCAATCCCATTAAAGTGGCAATCTGGAAGATTTCCATTGAAATAAATGTCTGTCAAGTCAATATCTATCTCCCAATGAGGTTACACAATAGTGATGCAAATATTGCAAAATGTATACATTTGCTGTATTATGAACTGTGTATCTGTGGCTATATTCCCAGGAAGAAATGCTGCATTCAATTACTGCTAATGCAAACCAAACATTTCCTTCTTTTGCAGCTTCACATAAAAAGCATTTAACTGGCCAATCGCGAGGTGACTTTTATTATTATATATTTTATTATCACAGGAAATGCAATGTGTTTTTTTATAGAAGGTTTCACACTGGCTGCTATGGATCATTAAAATGCATCCACTAAACAACAAAACTGTCATTTTTGTTGCATTATTCATAACTGATTAGTTTGAAATATTGCAGGAACAGCCAGAGAGCTGTTGGATGAAGAGCTGCAGGCAACAGGATGGACACCTCCACCTTCTCAGAAAGGTAACCCCCTCCTTCAACACCACCAACCGCTACTTTCACTTTCTCCACTTTCTCCAATTATTGCCTGACTTCTCTTGCTGCCCCCAGTACTCTGAGACATGTTGTATTAAACTACATGTCCTGTTACCATCAGTAAAAGGGCTAAATTAACCAGGACTCAAATGGCAACTTGAATGTAAAACTATTGCTCTGTTCTTCGTCAGTAAGTATGTTTAGATAGATGGATAAAATGATAGCTGGAAGGAAACATTTTAGTAAGAAAGAAAAGAGAACTTGTCCTGAACTCCTCTCCACTTCAACAGAAAAACTAAAGTACGTCATATCAAGACAGCTTCAAGGACATAGAAAACGCATCAGAAGTGGATCTTTGGTTCCCCCTCAGGATATCATTTATTCTTAAGGGTATTGTATACAGTCAGTGATCTGTGGGGGGTGAGATGAGATGAGGATTTGCTTCATATCCTCTTTTAATTAATATCATTATCTACTGTCCTCTTACCGGCACAACATACCAGAAGAGACACATCCACATGCAGCGGCACGAGAGGCTCCACTGATTCTGAGTGGTAAAGAGTGGTATCCGGAGATAGCATCAAAAAGCCACATCAAACAGAAAGAACGCCATATAGTATTTATCACCAAACAAAGACACAAACATCCACACGCACACGGAGCCAGTGACGCGCAGCAAGAATGTGATGTGTTTTCTTTGTCATGTTAATCCGTTCCTTAGGGGTTGGATGCCACAATAAAGTGAAGAATAAATCACCTAGCAGAATTACTACATACAGTATAGATCACTCACACTGTTCAATCCTTGGCTCTCACCCTGCTTCTTCATTATCATCTCCTATTTCTCTCCGGTCGCTTGCTCCCTATTTTCTCAACACGTTCTCTTCACTTTCCCTATTTAATCCTTTCTCTTTTTCCTCTATCAGTCATTTTTCATTTCTACCTTGAGCTGAACCCTCACTTGGCTGGGCTAAGCGTTTGGGTAAACAAGAGCAAGGCAGTGCATTCTGGGACATGACCTGTGAGTTGGAAGTCCTATGAGAGGTTAATAAGGTTTTTCCCCAAATGTATCCACACACCAGAACAGAGGTGAGGCTTTATTTTAGAAGCAGATATCTCTATCTTAATTCAAACTGTGGAATTGATGTAAATAGATGAATGTTTTATTATAGACTGTTTTTTGAAATCTTCTTTAAAATATCCACAGATAAGAAGACTTGGAAATGAGAATTTAGTATTAATAAAATACTGGCTCTTTACTTATCTGCCGCGATGCATATTTAATATCATTTTGATTTTAGTATCGGGGCAGGGGTTGTTTTTACTTTTAATAAAATCCTGATGAAGGATAAGTAACCTTATGAGGACATTAGGCCTACATTAATTTTTCTGTATCATTAACTTACAATTCAAATAATTACATTACTTATCAATCTCTCAATGCAATAACGGTGAGATGCAGCCCACATGACACACACACACACACACACACACACACACACACACACACACACACACACACACACACACACACACACACACACACACACACACACACACACACACAGGCTTACCTTGTATCCTTGGTTGATGCCATTAATAAACTGCTGAGGCGGCGGGCTCCATGTGAAGCGGATGGTAGTCGAGTTTATAGCCAAAACTTCCACTTCCTGCGGAGGTGCTGTGGGGACTACACACACAAAAACACACACGCATTAACATTAAGCAGCAATGTGTCCACCACAGGGAAGTAGATGATTGTTTGGATACATTGGAAAAATATACAGTAACAAACCTGGAGCCCTGAGCAACAACAGGGTTCTCAGGGTTATGTTTTCTACTTTTTAAACACGTGGTGGTTGGACATATATTATACAGCACCATATTTCAGTATTTCACATTGATATTCAGTTCATTTTTTAATTAAAAAATATCTGCTTGGCTTGCAAAAGTTAAATGCCAAACCTACGCTGATATTCTCTGCTGATATTCTCTGCTGCAAAATGACCTAATTTTTCAATGAACTTAATCTCATCTTTTGTTTTAAGCATTCTTGTGTTCCAGAGCATCAGTTAAGGAAATACTAAGTGAGAGTCGGGGACAGCCCATTCAGGGACGGGCGCTGAACAATGACGGCCTATAAAGACAGTGAATATGATGAATTAAACCTATTAAGTCTACTGGTCAAAGATGTGAGAGGCAGACAGTGGAGGCAGAACGTCAGAGGACTGGCTGGAGTTCTTGGCTCAGAACTGTAGCAACATCTCTCTCTCCTCTCTAACAGAGCAGCCCTGTTATACTTTAACACCTACATGATGTATGGTCGCCATGATTTATGGAAAAAATTACAATGTTTTAGATACAAAAATCATGAAACTGGATTTGTATTATTAACTTACAGTAGGCACTGCAGCAATTTAGTATTGCATTCACAGGAAGTTTTAAAATGGAAAGAGCCAGGTTGTAATAAAGAATTGACAACACCATAAATAATCGAAATCAAAAGACAAGTTTTGGATCTTGTCTTTTAAATAGTAGAAAAGATATGCTTTCTGAATGCCCACTTCTTCCAAACTCCACATCTATACTTTGTAATGTGGGTCTTGTGTTAAAACATATGCAATCCGAAGCTGAAGGTTCTTTCTTTCAAAGTCCCTGTCTAAAGCCACAGAAAACACTATCTCACAAACTGCATAGTAAAAAAAAAAAATATGACCAATAAACTGAAGTTATAGTGCTAAGTTAGAGAAGTGCCCCTTCAAATTAATGAAACTATTCTAACCATGGAAAATGTATTTACTTGCTTAAAGGTGGGGTAGGTAATTCACTTCAGAAACACTTTTTGTTATATTCCATGGAATGCTCTTAACATCCCGATAGCAATGAATATATGAAATGCTTTGACAATAAATCCATAAAAAAAAATTCACCTGTGGAAGCCATGGCGCTGTAAAAAGCAGGACCAATCATTTTAGCCGGCCCGGCTAAAATAACTGGATGGCCTACCTGCCTGTCAGCCTTCCATCTGTGTAAAAACTTATCTCGTGCCCTCATTGGTCATGTGCGCGTTCCTGTGTGTCGGAGGAGGGGCTCTGTCAGGAAGTCTGAAGGAAGGGGCAGATTTTTTGTCGGCTGCGTATTTTCAAATCTAGCGCACTCGAGCTGGTTTCTCCATTCTTACCTACCCTACCTTTAATACATCTATACATTCTTCTAACAATCAGTTATAAACTAGGAGACCAGTTGTTCTGTGTTTGAATTTGAATGTCAGTTCAAAGATTTGAACAATAAAAAATGAAATAATAAGAATTTGAAGTCAAACAAAAGCAAAAATAGTAATAATTGATAGAGTAAATAAAAGAGCAGCAATAAGTCTGTTTGAAGCGTTTAAAACTTGTCCGAGGCATTCATCATCCACCAGAGAGTGAGATGGAGAAGACAGGGTGTTAAGAGAGATAAGTAATTGTATATTACAGCAGTTTCCTCTATGAAATGTAGGGGAAAAGTAAATAGGATGCTGTCTGGAGTTAAATGTGGTAAACACCAGTGACGGTGAGGTTCATGGCTGGTGAGGCACTGACTCTTTCAGAGTCAGATTTACAAATATTATATTTTGACCTTAGTCGAAATATTTGGTTATTTTCAAAAGCTTTTTTAGTCTGATGCTTCGATTCATTTTAAACAGACCGTTCAACAAAAGGATACCCAAAATCTAAATATTGGATTGTTCTCTCTTAGTAAGATCCCATTTTCATTACAATTGTGGTCTTACCTTGACTTGAAGATTAAGTCCATGCTCTCCTTCTGGACAACAATCTCTATTACTTTTTTGTAAAAGTCCTCCTTATCTTCCTGTAGTTTGAAAAGTCTAGTTTGTTGTTTGGCGTCTACCGTCTCTGCGTAGAATAACAGTAGCAACAAGAACCTGTGGGCTCACGTGCGCCCCCTTTAGTGCGGCAGAGGTTATGGCTGCCTCTCCTGCTGCTTTTTTCATTGCCGTTATATGATGAGACCAGCGAGCCTAAATATCATATATACGTGAAATAAGTTATTTAGAGACTATGGATGACGAGGATAAATTTAATAAAGGGATCTACAAACATTACATTGGTGTCATACAGTGAGATGGTAACAGGCATGCGCTTAGTGCCCGCTTTCCAGCCAGTTTCTGTGGGGTGACGCATTCTGAGGTGAGGCAGAGCTCATCTGTGCCTCACCTCACCCCACAGTAACTGGCTTGAGCGCGCTCACAAAATAAGTGCCCGCGCTAAATTAGTGCCCGCGCTCCAGCAAGTTACTGTGGGCTTACAAGAGGCAGAGCTCGTCCCTGCCTCACTTCTCATCGCTACCCGTAGTTGTAGCGGAGCTCGGCAAATTTGCTGATTTTGACTTTAAAAAGCGATTGGAATCATACGTAAATCACACTTACAACATAGATCAGTGGAGACATTTTATTATTATTACTATTTAGTTTTTCTTTAGTTGTTTTCCCGTTACATTGGAGTATGACAGGTGAGGCTCTGCCTCCCCTGACTGCACGTCGCTGGTAAACACAAGGAATGCACTGATTTATTCCTTCCTATCCAAGTATCGTCCACTGGGTCTCGTGTCTTTTCTTCACATTTTCCTTCATGGAAGTGTATAAATGTTCCTTTATATGTGATTATTTATGCATTATATAGAATACATCACGGCAGCAGTCAGCAGAGAAAGAGGGTCCATGATAACGCTAGGCAAGAGGAGAAGAGTGTGACCGTGAAATGTGTGTGTGCAAGTGTGTGTGATATACATACAGTATGTGTGTCGGTTGGCACATGTGATGGTGATTACACTGTAAGGGGTTTATGCTGATGCTACAGAGCCACAGAGTGATAAAGCACTGTTGCATGATGGGAATGCCCTTTACATCTTACATTTGAGCCAAAGAGGCCATGAGACACAGAGAGAGAGAGGAGAGGGAGAGATAGTGAGAAGAGAGCCAAAGGAAGAGAAGACAGAGAGGGAGAGGGAAGATGAATTGATGCTCTCCCTTCCTCCCCCCCGCCACGCTGACTATACTCCCGGGGATCGGCTTCTAGCCCCTCGCAGCTCACAGCCGCAGATAAAACACTAAACTCTGTGCTCTGGGGGATCCTAATATACGCGTACGGCTGTGTTTGAGAGAGCGGGAGAAGAGCAGTGTTATCAGAGTCCAACACTGAGTTCAATCACATCCTCTCAGAGATAGTGAGAGAGAAATGTCCGATCCATCGCAGACACTCCCATTAAAACACATTAGAATAATTAATGAGCCTAACTCCATCTCCCGAGTCTATAAACCTGTCCTGAACTCTTGTAATAATGACAGTGAGTTTTATGTGCACATGTGTGTGTGTGTAGTCCAGCCCATCTTTAATAATGATTATATACTGTTGAAATAAAAGTCAGGACGTTTTTAGAAGAAGATTTAACCCCAACAACTACTTCCTCTCGTCTCCCTTTAACATCTTCACTTACAGTCTCCTGTCTTTCAATACATTCACATTGATTTATGTTTGAAAGACTTTGAAGTGTGTTCTTCTGCACAGCCATGTTTATTACAACACACTATAAGTATCATATAATATATTTATAGAGCAGCACAGATATTAACTTCCTCCAGCTCATCCTGTAGCACCCTGAGGCCTGATGGGAGGTGTAATCCCTCCAGCAAGTCCTGGGCGGCCCCTTGGGTCTCCTCCCAGTTGGTTGAAGCTGATTTATGTGTTTGAGGGGACGCCTCAGGAGCAACTTTGACTTGAGTGTGAACTACATCAATTGGCCCCACTCGAAGCTAGAATCCTCATCATATCACTGAGAGAGAAGCCAACCAGCCTTTGGAAGTACTGCCGCCTGAAACTGTGATCTCAGTAGTCTATCCAAAAACTCACAAAATACAGAACCATTATTAAAACATGCTACCATTACAGAAATGGATGTGTAGTGGGTTTTAACTAGGGATTTATGCAGCCACATAATTGCTTCAAAATATATCCACATTAAAAGGAAATCTGGGAACATTTGAAATGACTGGATAAAGACAATGAATATGATAAATTAAATCTATTAAATCTAAGATAGATTCCTGGCTGGAGTTGTTGATTCAGACCTGTAGCAACATGGGAGCAGTGGGCAGCTATTGTACAGCGCCCGGGGAGCAATGGGAGTGAGGGGGGAAGAGGGGCGTCCGGTGCCTTGCTCAAGGGCACCACGGCAGGGCAGGAGCTGAACTGGGACCTCTCCAAGTAGCAGTCCACACTCCATATTTTAGGTCTGCTCAGGGACTTGAACCGGCGACCTTACAGCTACACTGACTGAGCCACTGCCGGACATATCAAGTTCTTTGAAATAATTTTGTTTGCTACNATCCTTCTCTTTGTGGTGGCCGGTCTTTTTCTTCTTCGTGTGTGTTTATTTTGAACAGATAAGAACCACAACACTGCATAGCTGCGCTGTCGCCCTCGTCGGATCGTCGCGCAACTTAAATGATGACCGTTAATTTTTTTTGTTTAAAGGGCCCGGCCAGCGTCAAGGCCCTTGACGACCGGCCTTCTGTTGTTCTCCAGATCTCCAGATGGCCCCAGTCCGCCCCTGGGAGTGGGGTCTGCAGTTCGTGGACGAAGGATTGCACCACCTCGCTTTTTGCAATGATGTGGTTTTATAATGGCTTCATCGTCCTGCGACCTTACGCACTCTGGTCGGTTCGCAACCGGAGGTGTGAAGCGGCTGGGAATGAGGACAGCACTCCAAATCTGAGGCATGGTTCTCAGCCAGGAAAACGGATAGACTGTCCACTCCAAGTAGGGATGAGTCTTACCCCAGGTGAAGGGTTCAAGTATCTTGCGGGTTCTTGTTCTCGAGTGAGGAAACAATGGAGCGTGAGATGGGCCGAGATCGGAGCAGCGGGAGGCGGTACTGCGTCGCTTTACGCACCGTTGTACGAAAAGGGAGCTGAGCAGAAGGCAAGCTCTCTGTCTACCGGGCTTTTCGTTTCTACTTACGCTTGGGTCATGAAGGATGGGTCATGACGAAAGGACGGATCGCAGTACAAGCGGCGAGATGGTTTTCTCGCAGGGGTGGCTGGTGTCTCCTTAGGGATAAGGTGAGAAGTTCAGTCATCCGGGAGGGACTCGGAATTGAACCGCTCCTCCTTCGCGTCGAAAGGAGACAGTTGAGGTGGTTCGGGCACCTAGTTAGGATGCCACCTGGGCGCCTCCCTAGGGAGGTGTTCCAGGCACGTCCAGCTGGGAAGAGACCAAGGTTAGACCTAGGACCAGTTGGAGGGATTATGTCTCTTCGCTGGCCTGGGAGCGCCTTGGGATCCCCCAGTCAGAGCTGGTTGATGTGGCCAGGGAAAATAAAGTTTGGGGCTCTCTGCTGGAACTGCTACCCCCGCGACCCGACCATGGATAAGCGGGAGAAGATGGATGGATGGAGTTAGGGGGGAGTAAACACAAGTTGAGAAACAACAGGCCCAATAGGCCTGTTATGTTGTCTTGGCAAACTTAAGCAAACATTAATTTGACTTACCTATCTAAGTCCAACTCACTCTTAACTTGTTGTAGCTTTCCCAACCTCTGAGACCACATTACATACTGTTTTAATAGCACAAAACGCCACAGCATTTCCGAAAACACTACAGCATTTCACAAAACACCACAGCATTTCAGGAAACGCCGCAGCATTTCAGAAAACACAACAGCATTTCAGAAAACACCGCGGCATTTCAGAAAACAACACCACAGCATTTCACATTGGACGGAAAGGGTATTCCTTTAGGGAGAACACTTCTTGTTTGTGATTGGACAGAGCCAGCCAGAGAAGCACTGCTGTGATTGGTTGTTTTTGCTGCCAGTCAAGAAATGTCAGAGCCAGCTGCTGGAACACCCCCACAGCTAGCCGCAAGAAGACCCCCACAGTCAGCT